TAGCACAGTCTTTGCTCCTTTCTTTCTTATGTGCTTGTGATGGGAAAATTGAGTTGTGACTTCTTCTCTGTCCAGGCTGAGTTCCTTCCGTACTGAATACCCCAGGTTGAGTCCCTCCTGTACCGACCATTCTAGGCTGGCCCTGACTACGGAGCAGATGAGTTCCTGGTTAGAGTGCATGTTCTGGAGCCCTTGGGGCCAGCTGCCTGCAGTCCTTAGGACAGTCGCCCAGCTTCCCTGCACTTCATACTTCTCTGTGAAATGAGATAATCCCCACCCTGCAGGGTGACCAGGGAGTCAGTTCACTCCAACCCTCTGTACACACTTTCTCCTTCACACAAGGAGGCTTGTTGAGATGGGAACTCAGGCTCAGAGATGTGGAGTGAGTCGTCTGAAGTCACACAGTCAGCTGGGGTCAAGATGGGAGCTACAGCCATGTCACTGGCCCTTCCTGGTCTCTGGATGGGTCTCTGCCTTGGCCATGGTGCCATCTCCAGCCGGTACCTCCCTGGATACCAAGTCCCCAAGGCAGCCATCCCTAAGGATGCTGAGTCACCTCTCCATGGGCCTTTTCCACAGGTGCGTGGAGATGCTGATCAAGGAGCAGATGAGGAAGTACAAGGTGAAGATGGAGGAAATCAGCCAGCTGGAGGCCGCCGAGAGCATTGCCTTCCGCAGGCTCTCGCTCCTGCGACAGAACACTGTGAGCACACTCTGTGTAGTGGGGTCCTCAGCAAGGGTGTGGTTGAAATATGGCCTGGGTGGGAGTGGCCCTGTGAGCAGGGCTTGGGTGTCAGGGTGAGGCTTCACTTCCCTTTTGAACACTCCTGGCCATAGTCAGCCTGGCCAGGGGCCTTTTGCAGCTTGGTCAGGGGCCTATTCCTACCTCAACCCGTGACCGCTGCCCTGTCTCTTTGCCAACTGCTCCCTCAGGGCAGTGGGAGACCTGCACTCACTTGGTGGTATTTCATTCTCCAGCCCTGGTCCTTGCTGACTTGAGCCCCACCCATAGGAGACTGATCCCATAGAAGTGGCCCCAGATTGGGGAGGTGTAAGAGGGCGGGTCCTGGGCTTCCATGGGAGGACTCTGTCCCTGTCCCCACAGTCAGATGTGGCTCAGTGACCATAACACAACTAGTGTCTTTGTCGTGGTCCCACGTGGTCACCCTCTGTTCATCTCTTCCCCAGCCATGGCCTCTCAAATTGGGGTTTTCGTCTCCCTATGAGGGGGTCCTGGTATGTACTCGATTGGTGGGCTTACCCTGCATGTCTTCCGTGCAGTGCATGCTGGGGTTCCCCTCTGCACCCAGGGTCCTCGTAGGATAGGCCCAGCATGTCCTAACCTCGAAGTGCATGCTGGGGGAGGCCTATTGCCTGTTGACCACCTGTGCTGAGGACAACTAACCAGATGTGCCTGGGCCACTTGGTCCAAGAGTGGCCCTGGAGGAGCCTCACTAAGCCCAGCCATCCACAGCAGAACTAACCTCCCTGGAGCTGCGCATGCCATCCTCTCTCCACCCATAAGAACTGACCCCACCCACCTGGAGGGGCTGGCCAAACCTGCTGCTTCTCTGTTGCAGAACAAGAGCCCCACGGCCCAGGGAAGCAGCAGTGGCGCAGAGGAGCTGGGTGTGCTGCCAGAGGAGGAGGCAGCCAGCCACGATGAAGACCGGGAAAAGGAGATCCTCATCGAACGGATCCAGTCCATCAAGGAAGAGAAGCAAGTGTCCCCCCTTCCCTTTCCCACTCGTCTGCACCATCAGCCCCCGTCCACCAGTCCCTCTGCTATGCATAGGAAACCTGGCTGTTACAGGGCCAACAGGACAGGCCCAGTGCTGCTGTCCAGTACCTACCTCATGGAGTGCTGCTATCCTAAAACACCACTAGGGCTCTGTTTAAATTCCATGCCTTACCGCAGGAAACCATGGTGGCCCAGTGGGAGAGAAGGGGCCACCAGGGTGATGTTCAAACTTTGTCTTGAAGGTGGCCTTAGCTAGGGTGACTGATCAATTTGTGTCCAGTTGAGATATGAGTGTGAAAGTAGGTGCTACTTAAAAATTGTGCCAGGAGAACGGATATGACCCAGGGCACCTGGCCACCCTAGTCTTACAGAGCAGGGCACTTCAGGCAAAGGGAACAATACATGCAAAGTCCTAAGGCAGGAGCTCCTCACTTGCTCAGTATTAGGCCAGTTGTCTGGCTTCCCTCAGCAGCCTCACACCTTCTTCCTGTGAGCTTTGCAGGGCCGGGGGCATTTGGGGCCAGGTGTGATTTAGGGGTTATGAGGGCAGGGAGTCCCATCTAGGACCAGGATGCCTGCTCTGTCCCCTACTGTCCTGGCACTTTCCATGGGGTGGTCTTCCATCATGGGAACAGCCTTGGACATGTCACCCCCCCTTATCCCCAGGGAGGATATCACCTACCGGCTGCCAGAGCTGGACCCTCGGGGCTCTGACGAGGAGAACCTGGACTCAGAGACATCAGCCAGCACTGAGAGTCTATTGGAAGAGCGGGCCGGGCGGGGGACCTTGGAAGGTCAGTATTAAGGTAGCGTCTGCTTTTTTCCTCCCATGTCCAACCCCCGGCAGGCCCCCGGGCAAGGGTCTGTCTGCCAACCCTGAAGCTGCAGTAACCCTGCCATCTGTCTCTCAAAAGGGCCCCCCGCACCTGCTCTCCCCTGCCCCAGTGCACCCGCCCCAAGTCCCTTCCCTGAGGTGGCCGCCCCTCCAAGACGAAGGCCGTCGTCCTTCATGACGGTCAGAGTGAAGACCCCCCGGCGGACCCCCATCATGCCCACGGCCAACATCAAGCTCCCACCTGGCCTGCCCTCCTACCTTCCTGGCCAGGCACCAGGTACCCAGGAGACTGCCACCCCAGTGAGGCGCCGGGAGCCACCTGCCCGCCGCCCGGACCAGGTGCACTCTGTGTATATCACGCCGGGTGCACACCTGCCTGTGCAGGGCACTCAGGAGCCCCTGGACAAGAATGACCAGCCACCTGGGACCAAACGGAGGTACTCAGACCCCCCAACCTACTGCCTGCCCACCTCAGGCCAAGCCAATGGCTGAGGGCCCGCAGTACCAGAGTCTGAACATCTGAAGATGGCCCTGTGCCAGAGCTCCAGAGCTAGCATTCAGCTCTCCAAGAAGGATCTGGAATGAAAAGCTCCACGAAAATGTGAGGTGGGCACCAGCTCCAACTGCGGAGTCCAGCAGGGAGAGGCCAGCCAGAGCTGAGCCCCAATTTCACACAGATACGCCGCCCAGAGCCCCAAATCCTGGCAGGCAGCTTGGCCTCTCCCATCCCCCTTTTGTACGGTTTTACAGTTAACTGTTACTTTGTGCCTGGTTTACATAATTTTAAACTGTAACAGCCTTAACAGAAGACCAAACTGTTTTTTATATGTGTACGTACAAACTTTTATATTAACGCCCTGCCTCGCCTTTATAACCTGGACAGACTTCAGAGCGAAACCCACATGGCCACCTCTCCTTAAGGCTCAGGCCCACAGTGAGGACGGCTTGGACCAAGGATTTGGACACGTGGGGCACATGACTGCCCCCAGTCTGTCTGGGTCTCGTCCTCAGGCCTGGCCAGCAGCCACCTGGCCCAAGTGCATTCAAAGGAGCAGTGCAACCTTCCATGGTGATGCAGGCTGTTGGCTCAAGTGAGGACATGAGGTGGGAGGCAGCCTTCACCTGGGGCACCACAGACCTCACATCCAGGGTGACTCGAATGTGGCCATCACTCTGTCCACTGTTCCCTGAATGGAGGAAGCTGCCCTTGGCACTGCCTGCCCCATGTGGCAGAACAGGAACTCAGGACTGCTCACAGGCGAGGAGGGCAAGGCCTGAGTTTGCACATCCCTACAGTGACAGCCTGGGGATCTCCAGAGTGGGGTCCTCTCTCTCAGGCTCCACTCACTCCCTGGACACCTGGACTGATGGCCCCAGGTCTGGGACTAGAAGTGTCCTACAAACCATGTGAAATAAAGAAAAAGTGCCTGAGAGGTGTTTGCATGTGATACCTGCTCTGGGTTGGAGGAGCATGGGGCAGTAGGGTTGTGGCCTTCTGGAAGGACCTGGCTTGATCCTCCAAACAAACACTGGTGTTGGAATTTCACATGTCCATCACCTGAGGGAGTTAGGCCAGCTGGAGGTACATGCATATTAATCCAGAAACCAGAGGGAGCAGGGAGTTCCTGAAGCCTGCTGTCCTGGGAGCTGCCTCTTGTCACCCTGTTTCAGCACCCAGCCTGCCCCAGCCAGGGGCATCTACCCTGAGGGTGGGGGGCAATTGTTGGTGGGCCTAACAGATCCAGGAGCAACCTCCCCACACGCAAGCTCACAAGCTGCAAACATAAGGGCAGTTGTGGGAACTGTCTGGCAGATGGGAGACAGTCCAGACTACACATGCGGGAGAGTTTGAGGGGCTTATCCAAAGTCACATGCTGTGATGGAGCATGTCTGGGAGTCAAAATCTACTGAGTCTGCCTCTAGAGTCTCCCTTTATCCATCCTAGGTTTGGTTTCATCCATGGTATTCTGTGAGGACACCAGGCCCACTGGTGTGATTAGAACACAGGTGACCTGAGGGCTGGGAGGATACGAAGGTTGCATTCCAGGGTCATCTATGTGAAACCTCCATCTTCACCCTGTCTGCTCCTGGAGGGCTTGCAAGAGGAGCCTTGGCTCCGTGGGGGGCCTGGGTCCTTTCCATGGGGGATCTGAGCCTTAAGGGTGACCCAGCCCCATCTCTTGCTGCAAGGATTAACCTGTGTTCCGCTTGAAGTGGACACTGTCTCACTGCCCATTTCCCAAGAAAGGGCCAGAGGGTTGAGTCAGAGTCAGGGACCTAGAAGCACATAGCGCATAAGTTTGGACAGACCGGATGGCCTCTCCTTGAAACAAATTACTCCCGCCCAAAATATGGGACAACAAACGAGAGGGACACGCCCACCCGGAAGGAGGTCAAGTGAAGGCACTTCCGCCCTCCCTTAAGATGGCGCCGGCGGAAGGGGCGGGTTACCGCTGGTCGGTGATGTCCCCGTCGAGGCTGGAGCTGAACCTGGTGCGGCTGCTGTGCCGCTGCGAGGCGATGGCAGCAGAGAAGCGAGACCCGGATGAGTGGCGTCTAGAAAAGGTCGGGGACCCTGCATTGCCTGATAGCTCGACTCCCGTAGCGCGGTGCTGGGGACTAGCAGACAAAACAGCCGGTTCCCACCAACCCACCAACCGCTCTGGCCACGCCCCTTCGGTGGAGTCCGCCACGTCCACCGGCTACCTCGCCCTCGTACCTGGGGCACAGCTGGCTCCGCTTCGTTGGCTTTGGCCCTCTCCCGGTTTTTTTGGCTCTGCCCCCTTCGAGCAAGATGGGGAGGAATGGGGGTGCCTGGCTGACACCCACCTTTTCTCCCCAGTACGTGGGAGCCCTCGAGGACATGCTGCAGGCCCTGAAAGCCCAGGCGAGGTAAGTGCAGAAGGGCTTCCTATGGAGGTGGGGGGAGTAGAGGCCAGGTTCTGGTGGGGTCCTCTAGGCTCCAGTCCCTGCTGGGACCCTTCTCTGAACTGGGAACAGCGGGCAGGTTTTCTTTTTCTACCTCTTGCCATCCAGCAAACCGGCCTGTGAGGTGATCAATGAATATTCCCGCAAGGTTGACTTTCTGAAGGGGATGCTGCAGGCGGAGAAGCTGGTGAGCACAGGAACCTCTCCTCACATTTCTCAGCCCTCATTAGGCTCTCCTGAGTCCCCAGGATCCGCTCCTGTTGTGACATCTCCCTCTTTTGTAGACCTCCTCCTCAGAGAAGGCACTAGCCAACCAGTTCCTGGCCCCTGGCCGTGTGCCAACCACAGCCAGGGAGCGGGTACCCGCCACCAAGACGGTACATCTGCAGTCGCGGGCACGGTACACCAGCGAGATGCGGAGTGAGCTGCTAGGCATGGTAGGACTCCCTCTCAGGTCCTTGGGAACCCTTCCATCAGGGACTGGAGTTCAGTGCCTGAGCGTGGCCAGAACAACAAATACTATCAGATACAGGGACCCTAGGGGCTCTGTCCCTAGGGTTCGCAACAGAGGTGCATTCTGGCCAGGCTTTTGATAGAGGAATAGGCATTTGTTTGGTACAAGGCAGAAGTGACCTGGTTAAGCCACACAGTTGGCCCAGTGCAAGATTTGGCCCCTGGTTTGCCACTTGCCACATGCCATATATAGACAAGATTTTTTTCATCTGTAAAATAGGATGACAGGTACCTTTCTGAGCATTTTACGTAGATTAGCTAAATCATTCAAAATACGAGTTGTTGTCATTACTAGATAATAGATGAGGAAAGGATCAGAGGTTGTGGGACTTGTCGGGAGCCCTGACTAAGAGTACAGAAGTTCCAAGAGCAGAAAGGACAGGTTTGGGGGATGACAAGGTGGATGACTTCCTGCCTGTCCCTTTTTTCCACAGGACTCTGCTGGAGGTGAGTTCCCCTGAGCAGAACAGGACTCAAGTTCCAGCTGCCTGGGATATGACATATTATCCTTGCTGTTCCCCATCCCTTGTGCTTCATCTGGCTCCCACAGGGTCCACCACAGCCCAGGGAGTGACCCCGAGGGCATCACCAAGTCATGTCTGGAGGGGGCAGCTAGGACAGAGGAAGTGGTCCCCAGAAGAAACTGGAGGGAGGGACCTGGGGCTGGGAAAGCCCCCATTGGAGTGAGGAAAACATCCCAGACAAGAGGGCATTTGAGCTAGAGCTTTGAGGCGTGATCAGGAGCCGGCTGGGCAGCAGACAAGTTGGGAAAGAGCCTATGGGTAGCAGACCTATCCCAGGTAATGGTCAAGAAGCTAGAACACAGAGAACCAATTCTCTCCTCTCTGCTTGGCCTGTTCGTCTTCCAGAGCCCAAGCTGGACGTGAGGAAGAGAACGTGAGTGTCCTCAGCCCTTGGGCAGCACTAGGGGGGAGGAGGGCTGGACAAATCTTGGACCACTGAGGAGCCACCATGAGTGTCTAAATCACCCATCAGACAGCACTTCTGGGAATGCTTTACCCAGAAGCCAAAGCAAAGAGGAAACTGAGCCCCAAGTAGGGTGGTGGCTGCAGCCATAACCTCTGGGCTCCCTGGGAACATGTTTGTCTCTTCCCCTCCCTCACCCTGTCTTATGTCTACCTGTCCTCATGTGTGAGGTCAGTGGTGTGGCAAGTCCCAGGCCAGGGGATGAGAAGCAGTCAGCGGCTGAGCTAGACCTTGTCCTGCAACAACACCAGAACCTCCAGGAGAAGCTGGCAGAAGAAATGCTAGGCCTGGCCCGGAGCCTTAAGACCAACACACTGGCCGCCCAGAGCGTCATCAAGAAGGACAACCAGGTATGAGGACTATGGGAACTCTGCAGCTTCTGCCATGGGGCATCAGAGGTTTCCCAGTAGAGGGGCATTGCAGCTGGGACTTGGCCTGATAAATAGGAATTTAGTAATAGACAAAAATGGCATTCCCAGCAGAGGAAACAGCATCAGCAAAGGCCAAGAGGTGCTGACTTGCCCCAGGAAGTTAGGAGAGTCCACACTCAACCCCAGTCCTCTTTATACTCTCCCCACCCCACCCATAGACCCTGTCACACTCACTCAAGATGGCCGACCAGAACCTGGAGAAGCTGAAGACTGAATCAGAACGGCTGGAGCAGCACACACAGAAATCTGTCAACTGGCTGCTTTGGGCAATGCTTATTATTGTCTGCTTCATTTTCATCAGCATGATCCTCTTCATCCGCATCATGCCCAAACTCAAATAAAGACCCTGCCTGCGCACCCCATCTGTCTGCTATCTGCCCTCCACCCCTGTCCAGAGGTACCCTTTGGGGTAGACAAGATGGAAAGGCCCTTGGAGGCCCCCAAGAGCCACAAAGACTACATGAGCAGTGGGGGAAGATCAGGCTTGGGACAGGGGTAGTGACTCAGCAATCCCCCTCCCATTTTCCCCTAGACAAGGTGGGGCCCCTAGAAGCCCCAGGAGCCCTCGGTTTGGTAGAGTCAGAGCCAAATACAGTGCCTTCAGCCCTGTGGAGTCAGGATGAGGCCTGGAGGGTGGGGAAGAAATGGAGCCATGCCTGGAGGGGAGCAGGCATCAGGGCTGGACCTTCCTTGTGATTGAAGGTGATCATTTAGGGACAGCGCTCAGCACAGCCTAAGCTTCCAGGACATTGCAGGTGCTTCACACCGTCATTCAGCAAACAGGCGGGTTGGTGGAGACCTTCCCCCGCCCAGGCTATAGCCTGATCATTTCAGACAAGAACGGGAGGGCACTGGAGTTGGGACCCTGGAAGGGATCATGAGTGAGTTCAGGGTAACTGGGTCCTGGCCTCTGCCCACCCCCACTTCAGACTTTTGAGGGCAAAGCCTGTGAGGATAGTGACCAGGGCAGCTCAGTAAAGGAGGGTGGACAGGTGACAGGTGTACAGTAAGTGTCTGTTTCAGACCCTTGGGAGCATGAGCAGGCACTGGGATACACATGGAGGTGCCCACATGGAACTCCATGGACACGGATGCAAAACGACCAGGTAGAGCTTTATAGAAGCTCTAGTGGCAGCTTTTTAAAAACAGGCCATAAAAAGGAGGCACATACCTGAGACCCAGGAATAGTTCAGTATTAGGGAACCTGTCAATAGCCACATGACTGCATCAGAAAACAAAACCACGGAGTAAACAGGTGAAATGGTACTTCATACTGTTGCTGAACAATATACAAAAGAGTATACAAAATAAGGAAGGGATGGACTTTTTCCTCATTTAACAAAAACCTCAAGCCAAAGGCAGCAGTGAATTTAATGGGCAAATACTGAAAGTTCTGCCATCAAAGTGAGGAGGTGGGGATTCCCACAGCCCACCCACCTCCCCCAGCGATTTACAATTGTGCCCAACTCTAGTGCCCTCCAGTTCTTGTCTGAAATTATCAGACTATAGCCTGGGCAGGGCAGGGAAGTGTTGGATCAATGCCACTAGACAAGAAAATACATGAGTCTGAAAAATGAGAGAAGAAACAAAATATTTACAGATGATATGACTATATGAAAGACAAAAGCTATTTTATTTATTTTTAATTTATTGGGATGACAATGGTTAATAAAATTATATAGGTTTCAGGGGTACAATTCTATAATACATCATCTGTATACTGTATTGTGTGTTTACCACCCCAAGTCAATTCTCCATCCATCACCATCTATTTTTTAATATGTTTTTATTGATTTTGAGAGAGAGAAACATTGATGAGAAGCATCATCTATCAGCTGCCTCCTGCACGACCCCTATTGGGGATCAAGCCCACAACCTGGGCATGTACCCTGACTAGGAATCGAACCTGGGACCTTTTAGTGCATGGGAAGACACTCAACCAACTGAGCCACAATGGCTCCTTCCATCACCATTTTAAAAAGCTATTTTAATAAGAGAATTAAACTAGCAAGGGACTTAATGAGTATTTAGTTTCCTAAGGTGGATGGAGGTGGAAGAGAGGATAGAGGGGATAAATGGTGATGGGGAAAAGAATAAAATAAATGAAAAAATAAATTTGTTTCCTATGTGCAAAAAATATATTGAAAGATTCACATTTATAACAGCATCAAAGTAGATACACTACCTGGTTTAACTTCCTCAATATAGGAAGAGCAGCTAAAAAAGACAAAAACGACTTGGAGGAAATAAATACAAATGGTTTCTAAATTTTTTCACTCACCAGGTTAAGTGAGATTTAAAACTGAAAATACATTTGCAGAAAACCGTGATAACATCTGAGTTGCAAAGGTTTGCAGAAAACCAGTGTTTTTCACTGCTGGTCCTATCAACAGCACAACCTCTCTGAAAAACAACTTTACAGTATCTTTCCAAATTAAAATACATAAGTCTCTTTGCCGGGGCAATTCCACTTCCCCTCACATGCGGCCACAGGAATTTGCACGTGAATATTTTTTGCAGTATTATCTGTAGTGAGGAAAATATACTTGTCATTGACACAGGATCTCTCCAGAAGAAGACATAATTAACTGATGCTTCTAGAGACGGGCGGATGAGAAATTCACTTCTGCCCTATGCATCTTTTCTATTATTTGAACTTTCTAAATATACCTCTAGTTAGAGAAATATTTTTTAAAATATAATTTCTAAGTGCAAGTTCGCCAAAACCACCGGTTTTCAGACAAGCAATCTGAGGCTCGGAGAGGGTGACACGCAGCTGGTCGGGATCTCCATTGGACTAAAACCTGAGTTTTCAGGACGTGAGTCCACTTCCTGCATNAAGGCACAATTCGTACTCAGACTGCGCTGGGAGTGGACCCAAGCACCGAGCCCCGGACGCTGGGACAGGTGATCCCGGACGGGAGCGGTCCGTGCGGCGCGCAACCCGGGCGGGGGGCTCATGGGGTCCTCTCAGGGGCGGTATCAGTGGGCTCCGTGCGCCTCAGCGGGGAGCTTGTGGCTGCGCTGTGATTAACCTGAGTGAGGCCCCGGAGACTCTGCGTCTTCTCGGTCATTTGCATAGCGCCTTTCCGGGTTATGCAGCCGAGCTCTGAGGACCAATCGCGTGCGTCTATGCAAATACAGCGGGGTTGGGGAACCTGCCAGTGGCCGGAGAGCTGGCTGTCACCAGGTTGGTTCGCTTCTCGGCGCGGTCCCGCGCGGTGCCCTCCTTCAGGCGCGTCCTTCCGTGTTCACAGGCCGCCCGCAGA